TTTTCTTATCAGACCAAACATTGCCCATGGTTATTGACCAGATTCATAAATGCAAGAGAGATAATTTTAATTTTATATATGATTGTTGGACTTTACATGTGCTAGAACCAAAAGGGTCATCTGTATTCACATGACATTCTCTTCATGTGTTCATGTGAAACAGTGAAAGTATCAAACCCACATGACAAAAGGAACTGGTCCCCAAGTTTTACTACTTTGGATTGGCATTTAGCATAGAAATCCTCATGCAACCCTAATTGGGTTGAATCCTTGAGTTGAGGTTCTCAACAAGCCTAATTCAATTAGAGCTCAATAATAGAAAACATTTCTTAATAAGCTGTTTACTTCTAAACTAATGATGATAAAAAAAAAATATTGAAACACTACGCCTAGCTTAAACAACGAAATTTGACAGAACCAACTGCTCAGTGACTGTGACTGACTTAAGAGCAATGCAAGAAGAGATAAATTTGCTTAATTGGTGATGCCATCTATGACAAACCAATGTTTGGTGCAGATTCAGGTAAGCTAGCTTAAGAGTTTAAACTACATCCCATGCTCGATCCAGGCCAGCCCAAGTTGCACTAACAGCCTTTACATACATACATTAACCTTCAAATGTCAATACCCTTGCTTACAAAGAAAATATTAAGGCTGCGTTTGGAAATGATGCAAATATGTAGAATGTAAAATGATTCATATAAATTGCAAAGTTAGGTTAGTTTTGCACTGACAAATTTATCTTCTTACGAAATAGACTTTTAGTTGTAATGGATGCAAACATGAATTTCAATAAAGCATATGCATTTTTTTATCAAAAGCTCACTTGAATGCAAATTTACTTATTTTTTATTGATTTACTTTTACATCTTATTATCAATGTAAATATGCATTGATTTGTCATTTTGTCAATGCATAAATGTAATGTTGCCAAACACAAGCAAAAGTGAACTAGAATGCAAATTTACCTTGAACCAGAATTTACACTCCATTTGCATTGTTTCCAAACGCAGCCTAAATAAAAAATTCATCTCTCTCTCTCTTTAAAGAAAACGAATGTACTAAATTTTTTGCTTGGGCTTTTGAACAAGAAACCAAGGCAAGTATCGGCCATATATAGTGATGATTTATTGAAGGCCCAACTCATTTTAAGAAGACAAGATACCTTTGTTTATGCATCATTTTCAATATAGTGGGTTGTCGGTGCCATTACATAATTAGCTATTGTTAATTTTCTTTCAAAGAATTTCTTAACTTCTTGTAGCAAAAATAGAAAAAGGATTCGTTTTCTTGGAAATAAATTCCTACAAATCCATTTGTTAAAATATTGATATTGATGTTGTTCGATTCGAGGTGTTCCGAACAGATGACACAATTAGATGATCTTTCCAACTGGACGAAGTTGATAGGGGTATAAATGGATCGCATTTAAATCAGATCAAACAAAATTTGAATTTGAATCCAATTAGAAAATCTGATATCCGAATTCGATTCGATATCCGATGGATATTGAAAATTAACATCCGAATTCGAATCTGATTAAATATTTGAATATTCAATTCGATTCGAATTTGATTAATTAATTATTTTAGATAATTAATAAATATATAAAATAAAATGTATAAGAATTAAATAACCGGTCAAATTCGGATTTTTATCGAATCGAATTAGGTCATATCCAAATCTGAATCCGATTAACTATTTGGCAAGAATAGGATATTCGAATTTGGCCGATTAAATATTCAAATTATCTAAGTTCGATTCGATTATGCCGAATATTGAATTTGAAATCAGATTTTCAAATACCGTTGACACCCCTAGAGGATGAAATCGCGCACTAGGATCTGCAACCAGGAGATAGGTCAGAGGCCCAAGGAGTTATCCTCGAGTAGGTACTCCGATGCTCAAGTCAGTCCAGTAGAGAAAGAGGTGATCAGGCCAAGCAAGTTGGAATAATGCTGGTCCGAGCCGAAGAGATGATGTAGAGATATTCACTGAGTGTTCTTCCTAAAAAAGTCAAAAGTCGAAAGTTCCTTACTTCAAGTGAGGAATACCTATTTATAGTTGGGTATCCATGTCTTAGATGGATAGGGCTTTTGAGGTTGTTAGGATGAGGTCGTTCACTGAGGTTTTCAGAAAGTTTCCTTTTCCCCAGCAGAATATGCTTCATTGTCCATGTGGGACACTCCTTCTGAGTCATGCTCTTTCGTTATATATACATGATGCCAATGTGACTAGAGAGAGAGAGGATGGGGGCGGAGGTTACCACATAGCATCATTAGCCAACTCAACCATCATCCGAACATATATCTTGTTGAGTTGAATAAAAGGAAAATTATTTACATTTCCACCATTTGCAATGATTTTCAATGGAAAATGTCACAAACGAAGCTCACTTTTTCAAATTGAAAACTCAATCTAGACAATCATGTTACAGTTTGAAGAGAAAAAGGATTCATTTTCCAAGAGAGGAAAAGGGGCATGTTAGAATTTTGATTTTTCAAAGGAATTCAGTTTCTTGGTTGCCAAACGCAATGAAAAATGACATTTTTATATAAACAAATTTCTGAAATGTGCTTTTTCAATCCATCCAAACAGATAGTTCTTAAGACAAAAGTATAGTAATCATAGCTTATGGCATTCTTCTTTGGTTGATTGGCTTGTAGCTTAGAGGGGGTATCTGTTGTGTATGTCCTTCAATTGATGTGTGCAGTGGTACCAACAATTTTAGACCTCTAGTTGCATACATGACTCCACCTAAACCATTAAACTACTGCAAAGTCATAAATTCTCCCCTTAGCGGTCCCCTCCTCTTTTATGTAAAGAAATTTGAGACATTAAAAGGGTACATGTGGATGAATCTAAACCTTATTTGACCCATTTGTACATTCTTCATTGCATTGGAGGTAAGCAATGGTCCTTTAACTTTTAAGTGGCATTTCAAGCCTTTTTAGTCCCTGTTTAGGAGAGATGAAGCATGGTGGCTTCTGGGCTTATTTTGAGGTGGGCTCCATAGAGCTCAAAGCTATTGTGGGCTCCGCACTAACTTTAAGTGGCTTGGGCGCCTGTCCGGTTCAGCCTCATTGAATAACTTTTACACAGCGCGCTTCAAAGCAACTAAACTAGCTTAGCTGAATCTTCTGCTCAGTTCTCCTAAACAAGCCCTTATATGTTAGCAATAAGAAGAAGAACAATCATGAAAAAAAATACAACTTGATTAAATCTTTTTAAATTAATCCTTATATAATCTGATAGTTATCATAAAGTTCATTATTATTAACATTTTCTAGTTAAACATAAAAGACATTATAGTTAAAAGTCTCTTCTCCATAGAATTACTGCGGGCTAAGTGAATATTAGCATCACCATCTATCTCTTAGCTATTACTTAATATCCACCCTAGTATTTTTAGGTATTTGTCTCCATCATCAATATAATTATACTAAAATTCTACATGCAATTTTTTTAATTGTTTCTCTAAGCTAATTTTGGATTGCTGAGTTTAGAACAAAGATTAGAAGCCAAGCAACTTACATTTTAAGAGAAGGGCTTACTGGGCATAAATAAATAACAAAGAAATGGCATAACACATTTCTTTTTGAAGAAAAATCTTTTGGCACATCACTTTGTGTTGGATTAAGTGCATCAAGTGGAGATGGGTGTAAAGAAAGGAAAAAAAAAAAAAGTGGAGATGGGTCATTGATCCTAAGAAAAACGAGCATAAACAATCGAAATGCCAAAGACTTTAGAAACAGTGCCAAATCAGGTCATTCACACTCTTTGGTTTAGCTGCTTTGGAAAAGCCACAAGAAGAAGCTTCGGTGCAAAGCCAGAAGCCGCTGCATGAATTGCCCCCTCCCAAACGGGCACATGGAGATGACCCACTTGATGGAGAATCCCCTGTATTCGGAATTCCTTTTCATTCCCTGGCCCCATGCAGCCTTATATCCTATCACTTATTCTGGCTTTCACCAATTGATGTTAACCATTCAAAGCTTCAACTTTTTAACTTTAAAAGTTTCCCAGAAAAAGGACTTTGATTTGGGCATGTGGCAAGGGCTTCTGGAGTGCAACTTGACTCATCTCACGGATAGGCAGGGTCAAGAGGGGAACACATGGGCCCTCTTTGGCCCCCATCCATGTTGCCTCGTGAATCATTTTGGGTCTCTTGCATTTCTTCTTAAAATCACTTGACTATCTAAATGCGTGTCCACACCTTTATTGAACTCTACAAGTTGTGGTATCACAATCTTGGGGTTGGGCTTCACACCTATTTTTTTCTTTCTGACCCTTGACTCCTTTTCCCACTGCAAGTATTCGGGAATTTGTTCTTCATAAAAGGTTTAATAATAGCTAGTTAATGGGTTGAGCTATTTTCATTGTAGAATATCAGTGGGCCGAACTTGGGCTGTTATAGGCCCAACATATGGGTCTCTCAGCCAAAATCTAAGCTGAAGTTGATCAGACGGTTGTCATTGTTAGTTACACTACATACTAAGGCTAAGTTTGGGAGCACTTATTTGAAAAATAAGTGTTTATGAGCGTTTGGTGAAAGCACACTTATTTTAAACAGGGATAGTATAGGTAATTTAAGAATGATGTGGCGAGCCATTATAGACCAAAAAGGAAATAAGCAGTTAAAAATTTAACTTGAACTTCTCAATTAGTGTTTATTCTTTGGGCTTGTTTCCCAAACAAAAATAACTACTATTGTGATCCCGGCCCAAAATAAGTAAGCAACAGTTCCACCATCAATTGGAGCTCGTAAATCCACCCCACTGCCCATTGGAACTAGTTGGGCCTTCAGCAAGTAAACAAGGGTAGCACCTGCCGCTGGGCTTTGACCAGCCTGGGCCCATCTCGTTGAGGGCCCGAAGCATGGCCCACCCGCAAAAGGCGCAAAGTGATGTAAAGTTCCACGAGATATAAAAATAAAAGTGCAACTGGGGAGAATTATCCATCCGATCGAGTTGGTTTGGGGCCCACACTCACCACCAAAGAAAAGGTAGGGAATCCAGCTCCTCGTCCTCCGTCCTCCCCATTACCGTGCTCCCGTTCTGACAGGAACGAGTGCGTGAAGACTGAAGAACAGCATGCGAAAAACGAAAAACGGATATACAAAAACGTCAGTCCGTCTTCTCTGCAACTCGGCTTCTTGTCTCTGTCCTGCTCTAACATCACTGCAATGGGCAATGCCACTCGGACGAAAATGGCGTTATTCACCATAGATTCCTAATTTTCCATGGTAAATGAACAAGGTTAAATAATAAAAATCATTTATTTTTGGCAGAAGATAAATTCAAAAAACACCAACCGTCCATCATCAATCTATTCTCTCTCTTGCTTTAGTTTGAATCTCTTTTTTTTATCGATAAGTGTTCCCAATTAAATCTGGATCAAGTTCCGTTAATAAGAGCGCGTTTTGTTCTATCTTGTTTAGAGCCTGATCGGTTTTCCTCCATGCAAGCAATGGTTTGATTTTAGTTGTTGATTGATTTTTAATTTGTTTTGCAATAAGTTTCTTGATGGGTTTCCAAGAAACCTAGTCCTTGAACTGGGTTTTGTTTTGATTTCTTTTTCCTTTTTTTGGAAAATTTAAAGTTAGGGTTCTGGCAGTGGGAAATTGGTGGAGCTTTGGTGGGTCAGAGCTACATTTTAATTTTTAAGTGGAATTTGAATCCTTAGAAGGTGGAATGGGATCGAGTAGTAGTAAAGATGCCGCGGCAGCGTCGTTGCCGTCGTCGTCTAAGGCTGTTCGTCGGACGAGATCGAAGGGAGCTAGGGTTTTCCAGCCTTCCTGTCTGGGCCGATCGTTTGGATCTTATGACAACGACAGTGGCGAAGAGGTGAGTGGTTTCTTCCTTTTTTTTATTAAATTTGTTTTCGTTTTGGGATCTTTCTGTTCGAATTATGGATCTTGTTTCTATAGCATACGCTTTACTGAAAATCCTGTTCTTTTATGGGATTTCCTTTGAAAATTCCTACTGCTTTGGAGGTGTTTGATGAAACATGCAGCAGTGTTTGGTTGTCATTTCATTTCATACTTTAAATCTTAGATACGTGATGCTTCAGTTCAGAGCTGGAGTACGAACTTGAAATAACCTTGCATGTATTTTCCAAGAGTTATACTCAGTAAGGATTATATATTTATATCGGTGCAATTAGTCGATGCTAGTGGTAATTGGTAATTTAAAATCTTTTTTCCCCTTTTTCTTATGCTGGTTTAGTAATTGGTTTGGATTGTGCATTTAAATGGGTCTTCGAGAAACTGAAATAATATTAGTTCACACTTTCAGAGCTCTGATCATCGGAACAAGGAAAATAGGAGTTTGAACAATGATACCTATACAGACCAAACTGGAATAGACTCTGATCAAGTGGAACGTGAATGCTATGGGAAGGTGAAGGTCCAACAACAAGCATCTAATGAGGTGCCTTCAATCTCTTCTGACAATGAGCTCGATGAATGGGGTCAAGAGAGTGTTGCTGATACCATCTCCAGATCTGGTAGCAGCTCTAACCGAGCTGCCTCTGGTCGATCCTTGAACCTTTCAAATCGCATTCGATCCCGCTTTAGTTTCATTCCTGGTAATATAAGCTTTAGGTTAAGCAGAGCATCTAGCTTGGGGTCATCAAGTGCTTATCCTCTTTTCTCTACAAGCCTCACAATTTCCAACAGTGAAGAAAGGTTTCATGTACATACTGGTCCTGCCAATATTTCAGTTAGCAGCAATGAAACTCATGAAGGGAGTGACTTGCTTCCTGAATGCACCATTAATAGACTACCTGCAACACAACATGAATTTACTTCTTCTGGTGTGCAATTAGACTCTTCAGCCTCTGGTTCTGTTCATTTGCAGGATGATGAAATCATTTCCACAGTGGATGTTGTTCAGAACAATGAGAACACAAGAAATGGAATTGATGTAAATGGGCATTCTCAGAGGAATCATACAGAGGTAGAGAGCATTGAAACAAGGCATCCAGATAGACGAATTGGAGGTCGAGAACCAGTTGAAAGAAGTGTCCGGTTTAGCCGAACAATGAGTGTTGGCAGGCTCCGTGACAGGGTTCTTCGCAGGTCCTCAATCTCTGATGGATTGTTTGGTCGTCTACACGAAGACAGTGAGGTTCGAGATTCTAGCCAGGGGAGTGGGAGACATGCCTGGGATGGTGTAACAGGGACATCAGCCTCTGACAGGAATGCTGAAACACCAACAACTTCATCTAATTATCCTTTATCCAGTATGCCAAGCTCCGTTGAAAGCATTCAAAATGACGAGGTAGAGCCCTCAAGAACAAGAGACACCAGATATCATGACATTTTGGAGCGTAGAACTGATTTTCTTGAGAGGAGAAGAAGAATAAGATCACAGGTTTGTTAACTTTTTTGCACCTAGCAGACATATAGCAACAGTTCTTATTAAGGCATTGTTAGTGCATTCAGTTCCCACCATTTGACTGGCCTGCCTAGGGCCTTCTTTAGCAAAATCTTGATTCTTATCGGATTATCCTGTCTGTTAATTCCTTTTAATAGGCAGAAAAAAACTGAATTTATAGATTTGCTATGGAATTCATCTGGTTAGATGAGTTTTTTGGTTGAGAAGATCCCCCCCTAAAACCTGTCAACTGGTCCATTTTATGCTCTGAGAAAGGCCTGCATTAAAACACTGTTGTTGCACTGTTCTTATGATTTTAACTGAAATCCTTTTCAGTTTCCTCTTATGCATTTTTTGGTCTAGCATACCTAAGAGAATTCTCCTTTTCCTGAAGTACAGGTCCGTGCACTGCAGCGGCTTGGTAGCCGCTTTGAAAATTTATCTGGACATGAGAGGTCATGTATTTTGGCAGGTCAGCATCGAACAGGGCGTTGTTCCTGCCGAACAAATGGCCGTTCCACCAATCCAGATGATGATAACAGTGCCAGAGCTAGCATATCAAGGATTGTTATGTTAGCAGAAGCATTGTTTGAGGTAGTACTGTTGTTCTTTGTTTTCAAGGTCTTTCTTCTCTCATTTTTGTTAATGGATGTAAGTTCAGGCTTCTATAACTATTTTAATTAGGTTCTGGATGAAATTCACCAGCAATCTGTGGTTTTATCTTCCCGGCCTTCTGTTTCTTCGATTGGCTCTGTTCCTGCACCAAAGGAAGTTGTAGAATCAATACCTGTTAAAATATACATGAAGTCACAAAAACATATGAATGAAGAGGCTGCACAGTAAGTATTTGCATGTATTGTTATTTGTTATGCATTTAATTTACTGTAGCATGTTTACAGACTAAAGAGTATATATTATTTGATGCATTATTTACAGTTTTACACAAGGGAGGGGGTATCATGACTTATTGGAAAGATCATTCATTTCCTTTCTTCAAATTTGCTAAAATACCATACTGTGCTACTAGGGAGTAATATGATAAGTTCTTCTGTATATGTGTCATCTTCAATTAAAAACTTAAAGTTAACAATAGATAAGTTATTCTGTTAGGAGCAATTGACTTAGCATATTGTAATTGTTAAATGCATAAACAACTCAACTGTTTTAAATGTAACAGTTGTGCAAAAGTTATTTGGAGGAACTTTTAAATGCATAAACAACTCAACTGTTTTAATCAACTCAGTTATTTCAATCATCATTGTCAAGTCATGAAGATGAAAGTAGGTGACAAGGGAGTTCTTAGGTGATGGATTTTTTTTTAATAACTGAATATTAGGCTAATTTCCTAGTTTTCATGGTAAATAGAAATCATTATTTACTAATAATTAATAGTAAACTTACTTATCAAAAAAATAATTAACAGTAATCTTCATCAAATAAGTACAAACTTCATATCAAAGCATAGAAAATCAATATATTCATGAGAAAAGTACAGTCTTCATCAAGAAGATTGCCCTAGGAAAAGAAAGTAAAAAACTCTGAAAATAAGAAGGGGCAGGGCACTTAAGGGGTTGAAGCTCAGCTTTTCTATATAATAATGGGTTGAAGTAGTAAAGAAAAATAATTTAAAGGCTCATAACATAACAATGAATATAGCACTGAACAGAAAAGAATTGTGGAATAGGATTCATGTAGATGATCTCATATTGGTTTGGACAAGGCTTAGTTGGGTCGAGAGAAGCTTATCTTTTAAGTAGTCTTTTGTTTATTTAATTTGTTATATCTCATGGGACCTATCTTTGCTTAATTTTCACTTATGTTGTTACAAGATTGCTTTCATCTGTAAACATGTTGTGGACATATTCTTGTGTCAGCAGGTACTTCATTACATTTTTTCCCTCTTTGCAATAACATGATACTTATTTTTTCACTTCTCTTTTTTTCTTGCTCTTCTTTTTGTGTATTGTTTGATTTACAGATGTTATATATGCCTTGTGGAGTATGAGGAAGGGGATAGCATGCGGATATTGCCTTGCCATCATGAATTTCACCAGACATGTGTAGACAAGTGGCTTAAGGAGATTCACAGGTACAACATGGACCAGAAGTTATCTTTGATATTTTTTGTTTGAGGAAATTTGATTTAATATCTAGATTATCAATAAATATTTGCATTACTGTTTATTATTATTATTCAGAAAGGATTGCAAGCTGGTTCTTTTGTCAATTTTAGAGGTTTATGGCAAGGAGAACTATCTCTCTCTCCTTTTTCACTAGTAACTGGGGTTCTTAATAAGTTTTTCAAAGGCAAAAAGAGTTGGAAATGATTGGCTATTTCAAAATGAATTAGCAAGGTGGAAAACTGGCAACCATTTTTCACCTACAATGCACAGAAGATGTCATGATTTCTTTTGGGGGTACCTTAAAAAAATCCTTTATTGCTTTGAAGTAACAATTTAGGTTGAACAGGAAAAATGGTCTAATCTTAATTAGGAAAGAGTAGGGGTGGAGTCAGAGGAATCTGATTTCGTTATCAGAGTTTAAAATTCTAAGCAAGAGGTTGGAGTGGAACCTGAGTTTGACAAGATTATTCCAAATGAAAACAGAAATTTTTCTGCAGTGTTGAAAAGGAATTTGCGAGAATTTCACTATGTTGGAGAGAAGGGAGGTATTTTTAATAAAAACAAGTGTACTGATGATGATTTCATACATAGTGGGAAATATGTTTTTGTCTCTTCTGAAAAGCATCCTTACAATTCAGAAAGTGTCATTGATATGTTGGTGGGAAAACTGGGTCCAATTTTGGGTAGAAAGAACAGTAGAGCGAGCAGATCTGTTGACCTTGAAGAGCCCAGGAGATAAAAAAATAAATACTACCTGCTCTGGAAAACCAAAGAGATCAAAAAATTATCATTTAGGTCACAAAGTCTTCTTTTGCCTGAAAGATGGTCTTTGTGGGGTAGCCGGGTAGGCCCTTGTAAATAGGTTGAACAAGGTTTATAAGAGGAAGGGTGCAAAGGGCAACAAGTGATATGGCATGGCTGCTGATAGATGCTTGTAATCTGATTGGAAGTTGCAACAAGTAGACAAGAGTCAATGGGACTATGGGTGTAAGGTTAGAATGTTCCTGTTGTTGAATTCAAGGATGATGGTGTTGGTGAATCAGGGAAAGCTACTAAAGATAATGATGAAGAATTAAAGAAGCAAGAGGTAGTGGTTGAGGTGATTCCTAACAAAGTTAGGTTGAAAAGAAGATTGAGTTAGAATTATTACCAAAAAAAGTTAGAAAATGTTGAGCAGGAAGTTCAAGTTAGTAAAACACCGGGACTCTTTGATGGGATGGGAGGGGTTTGCAAAGAAGAGCTGTTTTGGAGTTGGTGGCATGGTTTGCTATTCAGTCATAGGTCTGTTGAGAGTTTGGTTGGTTGAACAGTGTTTGATGGTTGTTTTTTGGTTTCAGTTGGTGAGATGTTAAGAATTATTAAGAATGGGGAGTTTGGAGGTTTTTTATTTGTTTGTTTTTTCCAGGTGATTTCTTGTCACCTTTCTTGTACCTTCTTTTTTATTGTTTATTAAATTTTATTTTATTATCAAAAAAAGTAATTTTGGACAAAGCGTAGAATATGCTATTAAAGATATGGGGAGAAGGGGTTCCTTGTAAAATTGGTTGGGTTGTGCTAAAGGCTCCCTTTATTTTTCTTAGCTGGTGCGCCTAGGCATGCTCTGAGAACCCCCTATTTGCTAATGTTGTTCATTCATTCATCCTAATAAAATATCTCCTTGAAAAGCAATTAACATTATAAATCATTATTTTTTGTGTGACAACTAAGAATTTAAGACCCTAACATGGACTTGTTTGGGCTTGCCTCAAGGGGCGTGGCACATAGGTGGCTCGTAGAATCAGGAATGTAATATGTTTTACATCACATTAGCTACTTGAAGTAATGCAATTGAGGAAAAAAAGAGATTGTGGATTTTACATGCTTAAAATGTTTATATGTTTAATTTTTTTATTTTCATTTGAATACGCTTTACATGTTATGCTTTAATTTAAGATAATAGGTTTTTTAAAACATTTATTTTAAATTTTAAGTTTATATTTTTTATTAATATTATGTTTAACATTTTTTTATTTTTCCCATTTTTGGCATTTTTTTAATTTCTAACATTTTTTAACTTTTCTTCTTTTTTTTTGTATTTTTTTCGCCTTGCTTCAAAAAGGCGCGCGCCTCACCTTGCGCCTTGCACTTCAGGCGCAAATTGGCCCCTATGCCTTTTTTTCTCCTTGCACTTTTAAAACATTGTTTTTATCACATTCTCTTGAGGAGGTAATCTAAGAGATGAAACTAAAGGCTTGTCTAGTGAACATGCTGCTACTAAACTCCAAATTTTTATTGGTAAAAAATCTCCAATTTCTTATAATGTCATCTGTTAGAGCTAACCAAATAAGGGTGGATTAGTCATTTTATTTCTGTTAAGTTATGTGCTTATGTGGCAGTTTTAATAGAGACTTCTTGTCCCATACTTAAGTGGGGGCAGTTTAGTCTTTGTACAACTAATTAGAGGCTAATTCATATTAGGGTCGACTGATGGGGTTTAGGCTATCAGATTCGACTCCTCTTCTTCTTCTTCTTCTTCTTCAAGCCACTGAGATAACATGGTATCAGAGCAGGACGTTGCTCTTTAAATCTCTGCTCGTGACTGCTGCTTCTTTCTATTCGTGACTTCTTTTTCTTCTCTCCGGACTACAAATGGAGAACACAGACTCGACCTAGGTCTGAGAACACTTCGGCCTCTCTTTCTCTGCTTAGAACTTGATTGCCTTTCAAGAGAATAACTCCAGAAATAAGTGGATGGTCAACTGAAGCTCTCCATCAAGGTTGGTTATCCTATTTTTTTTGTGGTGTTGGTGTTTTTGGTTGGAAAACCCTCAAAATCTGCTCGGACTGATCAGAACTTAAAGAACTAGGTTATTTGTAGCCTTGGTTCTTGGCAAAAGGCCCAAGAACAGGCTGTGTTTACAGTGACCGAATGGTGTAAAGGTTACTGTAGTGGTTGTAGTTGATGTCTTTGGGTTGGTTATCCTTTCTAGTTGGTGTTTCTGGTTGTTGGTTATCCTTTTTTTTTGTGTTGTTGGGTTGATGTCTTTGGGTTTCTGGTTGTTGGTTATCCTTTTTTTTTTGTGTTGTTGGGTTGATGTCTTTGGGTTTCTGGTTGTTGGTTATCCTTTTTTTTTGTGTTGTTGGTTATCCTTTTTTTTGTGTTGTTGGTTATCCTTTTTTTTTGTGTTTCTGGTTGTAGTTGATGTCTTTGGGTTCTTCTTCTTCAAGCCACTGAGATAACATGGTATCAGAGCAAGATGTTGCTCTTTAAATCTCTGCTCGTGACTGCTGCTCCTTTGTATTCGTGACTTCTTTTTCTTCTCTCCGGACTACAAATGGAGAACACAGACTCGACCTAGGTCTGAGAACACTTCGGCCTCTCTTTCTCTGCT